TCTTTCAGAATTATGGTCTATGATGTGATTCATAAGCACATGAATCACATAGATCTATGCTCTCACTGTACAGAGTTATTATTAAAGGGCTTCTCACGTTACACATTGACCGTTTTTAACCTGGCTAAACACCCAGATTTCCAAAGCATTTGTATAGATGCTTCCATCAGCAGTTACATAATCAAGACTGCTGAGCTTAGTGGAAGCATTTCCATATCAATGGTGTTCATAATATTATGGCACCTGGTGTCATCAGAACTAAATCTGCCTTAATGAAAGGTTTACTGTTAGTGCTTCTAAGCATGTCATCATGCTCATTTTGCAAAACACTTTTCAGGAGCCCTAAGGTATGTCACATTTCAATGCAACAAACAGGAAATGAGAAACCTGCATGTGACTGCATTGAAACTTCAGTGAGTGTGAAATTAGAATTCTGCCCAGCAGGCCATTAGCAATGTATTATCACTTAAGATCCATTTTAATAGATAATTCTGATTTCAAAATGTGCTATTACTTTTCTAGGTAACAAGACTTATGATTTTTGTCTGGCAGATGATAAAACAAGCATTACATCTCTTTATGTTTGATCAAAAATACAGTAAAACAGCAATATCGTGAAATATTATAGCAAAACTTTTTTCTCTTTTAATACATTTTAAAATACGTAATTAATTCCTGTGATGATAAACCTGAATTTTCAGCATCATAACTCCAGTCTTCAGTATCCTTCAGAAATCATTCTAATATGCTGATTTGCTACTCAGGAAACATTTCTTAAGTTTGCAAGTTCAAGATTCCCTTTAGACAACATACTTTATCCCAGGTTGCTCTATGGGATCCGTAGGGATGGGCAGAGGGTGAAAACAGCCCAGATTTGACCTGCAGCGCCCCTGACCTTCTGTAAGCATGTGGCTGCTATGTGTGGAATGCTTAATTAGGGCCTATTGTTTAGTTCTACTTGGTAACTCAAGTTACTCTCTGAATTGCACATAGAATTCAACACACTTTCTAATTCCAACGCCAAGACATTCCATGCCCTGAATTCCAAATTCTAAAATTCCATCAAACACCATTAAACAAATGGTGCATTCCGAAATATTAAAGAACAAACGCTTCTCTATTCTCGTGATTCTTTCCAACTTAGAGTTAATAGACACAAACTGAAAAGCTTTTGTATCAAATACTTCAAAAATGTAAAAATCCAAACGCTGACCTTGGCTATAAACGAGAGAGTGCAGCGCACATTTATTCAATACTGACAGTGAAACAGAACAGCATTTCAAAGGAAGAGCACTTCAACATTAGCAAACAAGAGAATATCATTCAATTTAAATAAAAACACCTCATTTCTGATATCTATATGGGTGTTTGTATACTCCTCCTTAGGGATAAAGTACATCTATCAAAAGAGGAAATTGTTTTATATTTGACACAGTAACTGTAGATTTTGTGGCATTTGGCTGTGGTGTGATGGTTCCCGGGTTTTCTAATTCCATCTTGGGACCTCAGCACAGAGTCATGTCACACGGAATGAGAAAACATGATTCGGATGCAACTACAGCTCATGTATTTTTAATGAAGATGATGTGACAGCATGTCGCTGTATCACATTCCACGCTCATGATGCTGAGAGTGAGTGCGTAATCGAGTAAATGTTGCGTGTCCTCCCTCAATGTAAAACAGATGCATTTTAGCACACTCACGGGCCAAATTACAGTCTATGAGCTAATCAGAAGGTAAAGGTAATTTTTTTTAACTGGACACTCCCAGAAGATTATCAAGCAATTTATGCTTTATGCACTGTACCTTAATTTGCTTTTGTGTTCAAATTGTGTTTTGTGTTTAATCATGCTTTTGTGTTCAAAAACATCAATGGAGCCAAAATAGACCAACAATTGAAAATTCCGAGACCAAATGCAACAACATGGTTGATGTGAATGGAAACTAGTGAGCACTCATACACTCATGAGATTTGATTGGTACGTTCAAGATTCAGCAAGGAAACATTGGTCGAAAGTGACAGAAAAGCTTTTAAAATGTTACAAAAGATTCCTATTTAAAATAAATGTTGTTCTTTTGAACTTTCCATTCATCAAAAAAACAAAACAATGCATCACTGCTTCGACAAACATTAAGCAGCACAACTGTTTTCAACATTGATAATAAAAAGACGTTTTTAGAAGTTTAATCTAGAAGTTTCTTGAGCAGCAAATCAGCATATTAGAATGATGTCTGAAGGATCATATGACACTGAACACTAATGATGCCAATGAAGAAGTAATGCTTAAAATTTGGCTTTGTCATCACAGGAATAAATTACATTTCAAAATAAATTCAAATAGTAAACACTTATTTTAAATTGCAATAATATTTCACAATATTAATGTTTTTACTGTATTTTTGATCAAATAAACATCCTTGTTGAAGGTAGAGACTTCCAAAAAAAAACATTTTAAAAATCGTACCAAAACTTTGAACAGTATAGTGCATATATAATATACACTGGTCAGCAATTAATTGTGCATATCTAATCTAAACAGGGTTATCCAATAAATCTGTAAGATAACTCAACAGAAATAAAACAAATGGGGTCTAAAATTCCACAAGAGTTCTGTCAATAAGAGGTCTATTGGAATTGACAGACTGTTCCTATGGGAGAGCTTGTCATTCCTGTGTACAGACAGTGTCTTAGGAACTGAGATCTATAGGAGCAGAAAGGCACGATCAAGCCCAGCAAAGAGACAGGAACTCAGGGAGCAAGTGATGGGATCCCACAGGACTGAGAAAATGTTGTGTGGTAAACAGACCCGCTGACAGGGCTGAGTCCCAGGCAACTTGATGGATGCCTGTCACATACTAATAAAACGACGCATGTCATCTGTGTGTGGTGCATGTCTGTGTGTTTCATGCGATGATTTGGGATAACACGTCAACATGATGGTCCTTTGGAGGGAATTTGATTGAATTCATTACGACTGACGAAAATTGGTTCATGTAAACACCAATTTTGCAGCAATTTTACAGTGACAAAGAGACTCAATATATTATCCATTCTCAATAAGAGTTGGTGATTATAAGTGACAAGCAACAGAGACCCTTAGAGATACAACAGAGTTAAGCAGACCACAACGCTATGCTTAAGAAAAGTGACAATGTGCCGACGCCAAGGAACGTTACTACTTGAAAACAGCACAGCAAATCGCCAGCCTCCAACCATTTACAGATTTCGCTGTTATTAGTCAAGCAGGCATGATTATTTCCCAATTTGATAATGTCAAAATGGCAAACATCAGCCAATTTATCAATATGTGACAAGAAAATGATACTTCAAATCATGATATAACAAAAGTAGTGTCTTCGGCAATGTACATCTGAGTGAAATGTATTACCAGAAATAAAAGAGGAGGGTGAGTAATTGGTTCAACCCATAAGTTGTTGATTAGAAGGAGGCAGATCTGAATGCAAGCTTGTCAATTGGATAAATTGGCTTTTGAAAGAAATGAGTTTAAGTTGACTCTTAAGTTGTCTGTTCACTAGGAAAAAAAGTCTATTTCATCAGTCTATTTTTTTTGACATTTTACAATTACAAGGTCAAAACAAAAACAAAAACATGCATGGATGAATCATTCATAATAAGATCAATAACACACGCATTTAGAGAATGGATAGGGTGAAATTTCATTTCCTTCTCACTTTAATCAAATCAAGTTTACACGCATCAGGAGAACTTCCTCAGATAGTGAATCAAGGGATGTTCAGTCTTTCTCCTGCTGTTTAACATCCAAACACAAACATACTTTGATCATCTGCCATTTAGCCTGCTGATGAACATCTTTTTGGTTTGGACTAAAAGTTCTTCAGTACTTTTCCACCTAAGAACCTGGTATGCTATACGTGCTAGGTCACATATCTTTGTAGAAATTGCTGACTGGCGAATTTAATATGATACAGACATAAATATGTACCTGCCAACTTGTACGGACAGTAATACATGACTAATATATCTCCTTTAGACTCAAATATCAAAGCCTAGCCTACATAAAAAAAATTTAAAAACTTCACTGATATTTACACCTATAAACATGTGGCCTTGAACTATATCACCATCAGCATTAAAAACTAAAAGACAGATATAGTAGGCCAGAAACAGAAGCGGTAATGACTAAAAAAAAGACATTAACATGGATCCAAATGAATCATAGGCGAACACCTGCTTCCTAAGGCGGTCTTCAAGCTCTCAAGACAGTTGACCTGAATTTTCAGGGGTTACACCGGGGCCCTGTTATTATGACAAACAACGCGGTGTGGTGGTTGCTACAAAATCTGTTGTGACATCATTAGAAACACCGTAACACTGGTTTCATCGAGCAACTACAGATAAATCTTGCTTATGATGCATTCATCTTTGGCCCACATGGTTGCTTCAAGGCAATATCATGAAAACTATAAATGTGTTGATACAAATAATTCTAAATTACTAACACAGACTCAAAATCATCCATCATTCAGCAAATTATACTGTCAATGTCAATAACAACAACATCCAAAAGCATCTCAATTATGGTAGAGCATTAAACAGACCCAGAAATCTTGACATGTCCCCCTGATATTTGACAGATGAGCTGTCAATCATAAAAAGCAGCACATTATGCCTTAGATGACTTAAAACTAGATTAGTATATGATTTAAATTGGGAGATATTAAGATTTGATGACTTCTTTACATTTCCTAACACTAGCTATCCTATTGAATCGTATGGAAACGTGGGAAGCAAAAGCTGATGGCCAGTATTGGCATTTAAATACTGACTAACCTTCATATTTATATTTGTAACAATAAAATAGTTCTAATAGGCTTAATGAAATTGATCCTGTTTATTTGTCACAATGGAAATTTATAAAAACTGAAATCAGGTTCTGAAAAACAATAAACACAGTATTAATATGGTGGGAGGCATGCACTGTTTAAAGATGGTATGGTTTAGTAAAAACAGTACTTACTTCATCCTCTGAGAGTCCATAAATGGGTTCAAAATTCGTAGCCATAAAGCCAAAGGGCAATTTAATATACACATACACAAACACACACACTCGTGTGTGCTGGAACAATAGCAAAGAGTGTCCTCCTCCAACCTCCTGTGAACGTAAGTTGATCCAAAGCTACGAAGTCTGAGTCCAAAAACGAGTATCCTTTTAAACCATACCGTGACAGAAAATGTACGTCCACCGGTTTAATCTCATTTAGCGGCTAAAATTCGGTGAATACACGCTTAATTTCCCAAACAATATGATTTACCCTCATCAAGTGCAAACGCGAATCATTCACTTCCTCCCAGGATCCGAAACACTCCCCGCTGAAATGAGTGACAACTTATCGCGCCAATCACAGGGTTTTCCGAAACTCCAGGAGGACAGACTATCCAATCCGTGTTGACTGAGGGCGGGGCGATGTTGTTGCACTTTTGTGGAGTAATCAGGGATGGGTAGTTTCCTAGATTCCAGTATTGGATAGGGTGACCATACGTGCCATTTTCCCAGGACGAGTCCTGGCCAGGATTTCTATATTGCCTAAAATATCTAGGTTTTGGCTTTGTTTGCGTGTGCAGACCGATCGGTGTATGACATCAAAATACCATACAGACGGTTCCTTATGCTTTCAAAATGCTCTCGAGGTATTTTGATGTCATACACCGATCGGTCTGCACACACAAACAAAGCCAAAACCTAGATATTTTAGGCAATATAGAAATCCTGGCCAGGACGTGTCCTGGGAAAATGGCACGTATGGTCACCCTAATATTGGATCCATAAGAACTTGACGTATTATTATATTTGATGCATGTCTGTGGGTCTGTATGTATATTTTGTGTTAGTTAATACTTAGTTTATTTAAAAAGCCAGTAATAAGCTGTTTGAATCTTGCAGCTGGTAACAGGACTCTTTTAGCAGTGCTCTAGCACCCTCTATCTATAGTATAGAAGAACGATACTGCCAACATGTGCCAATTTATGATTTACACCCAACACTGGACAAAGTCCAACTGTTATGTATGCATCATGATTCATCGTACATGTGAAATAACCTAGAGGAACGGAACTAAAAGATGTTTTCTGCTGGTTTCTACTGGTGTTTTTTTGCTCTTGGCTTTTCTACACTGAAGGGATGTTTTAACAGACTGAAAATGAACTTGAGGATCAAACAGGGATATTTTAGAGGTAAAAATCCAGGGTTGCGAAATTGTAAAGGAGTTTGAAAATAAAAAGTTGAAAAGATCTTAGTCATTAAATATTCTCCTGGATTTATAAATACAGGACTCTTTTTCACATGGTCTAACAATGTGCCAAAAAGCAAAATAAAATGATAATTAAATTAAAATTCATTCAAAAATGAATTATAATGAATAATAAATAAAATGATTAATATAAATAATTTGATGAATTTAATTTTAAAAATGCCATAAAATAATAATTGTTAGTGTTAAAAATTTGTATTTTGAAAATACACAAAAGTTGGACTGGTGCTTCCAAGGTCAGAGTTCACTGGAAGAGGCTGTTCAAAAGTACAAATGCTTCCTTCCACTTTGAAAAGTACCTTGATTAATTTACATGTTAATGGTGTAACACTGTATAATGATTTTAACTGAAGAAGCTATATTTAATGGTGTATTGCAGTGTGTGTGTGTGTGTGTGTGATCAGTGATGTTTGTTTTGAGATGCTATTGCCTTCTTGCATTATTATGCTGTTTCATTATGATTATATATTCAGTGGCATAAAATGGTCTTTAAAATGACAATAATATCGCTTAACGCAATTATTTCTGGGGCAATATATCGCACAACAAAAAGTTGTTATCGTGACAGGTCTACTTGCTGGAGGGTTTTCGGATGTGGTCGATGGAAATCTCACCGGTGCCAGGTGCGCAGATGTGAAAAGTTCTAGAAAGAAGGGCACAGATGAACAAAAACACATTGGGAGATTGAGATGAGATTCATTAGAAGCTGCATTTAATCTTCCTGTTTTTTGCACACCACTGGTTTTTAAGCCCTTCATCACACACAACCAAACATGACCCCGTTAATGACTTCAATCACTCCTAAAGCAGAAGGGGTCAGAGTTCATCGGCAGGACCATGATGTTAATGGATGTAGACAGATTCAGCATAGTGGTTTGATATTTGGTTAGCCCAAATATCTACACAGCAAAATCCCCAGAGTTAAATCAACTCTGCTCAGAGTACATATTGTCCCAATCTACAGAGTGTTAAAGTAACACTGAAGCCGAGTTAAAGTTAATGGGATAATTAAGCAATTAATTAATTGATGAGTGAGCATTATTAAAGAAAACCCGCTGTTAACAATGTTGAAGATGAACAACTACTGCTCAGGCTTTTAGACATGAAAACGTATCACATAATCCTCAACAGTGGTAACTCTGCTTCAGTGTCACTTTAACACTCTGTGATTGGGACAATATGTACTCTGAGCAGAGTTGATTTAACTCTGGGGATTTTGCTGTGTAGGTAATTGTAAAATCCTGGATTTATAGCAGCATTAAAGAGAAGATAAATGCTGTCCTTTACAGTAGAGGATGGACTTGTATGTATTAGTCATTTATTCTTTTCTTTGATGCCACAGACAGTGGTTGATCATCTATTCTCAAAAGCATTTGTGAAATATGTAAATTATTCAAATGTTTTACAGGTATTCAACGAACCAGAATTGACATCAGGTTACTACAAAAACTGTAACTGGGAAGCAAGACTAATCTTTTGGGAGAGTGTTGGGATGGGTAAGACGTACTGTTGTACAGATTTGGCAATAAAACATGACTGACAGCGGAGGAGAGCACGTGACAGTGCACTTGTTCAGTTTTGGACAGCTGGCGTGAGCCTGACATGCAGTCGACCCTTTCTGGCCATGATGATGGCTCAATCTCACAGATTAGAATAAATAGAGGGAGAGAGAACTGAGCCTGTGTGCACATTAATCCAGAAGTCAAATGCATGGAAAGAATGCAGAACATAACAAAACATAACCGATCAATAATTTGGGGTCAGAAATATTTTTTTGTCTGTTTTTAAAAGAGGTCTTTTATGCCCATTTATTTGATCAAAACTAAAGTATATTATTACAATTTAAAGAATTATTTTCTATTTTTTTTTATATGTTTTAATGTTTTATTTATTCCTGTGGTGGCAAAGCTGAATTTTCAGCATCATTACTCCAGTCTTCAGTGTCACATGATCCTTCAGAAATCATTCTAATATGCTGATTTGCTGCTCAAGAAACTTCTTATTATCAATGTTGTGTCGCTTAATATTTTTGTGGAAACTGCGATACTTTTTTTTCAAGATTCTTTAATGAATAGAAAGGTTAAAAAAAAAACAGTATTTGCTTAAAATATAAATTGTTCGTAACATTATAAATGTCAGTTTTCAACCATTTAATGTGCCCATTCTGAATAAAAGTATTAATTTTGAATAGTAGTGAATGCATATGAATGCACAGTAAAATAAAATAAAAATGTATTCATTTAAAAATAAATGAATAAAATACATTTATTTAATTAAATTAACAAACATTTAAAATAACAGTGATACCACAACATTTAACAACAAAATAAAATTTAAAAAATACATAAATAAAATTGCAATTGCAAGTCACAAATTCAAAAAATGCATGTGTAATTATGAGAATAAACACTTTATATGTACAAAAGAGTGTATAACGACTAGTAAACAACAGAGTGGCCAGAAACAGATAAAATGTTAATTCATTCATCTCAGTTTTACATCTTGTGGCTCTTGTTTTGACAATATTTGGCTACCACTGAGCAGTGTGTGTTTTTGCATCTGCCGGTGTGTGCATGTGTGTATACATGTGTCTGTGTGTATTATAGCATGTAATCAGAAGCCAACTGTCTCCTTATTCTCTAGCAGGCCTGTAAAACCCAAACTCATCAGCGTGGTGGTCCTTGCCTAAAATAATCCATGTAAGTGTTCATAGTGCTCACCAGTCTTATTAATAAACTACTGACCTTTACACCATCAAAAGCCACCTTCACTTATGACTTCACTTAATGAGTTCATTTGATGACTTATGAATATGTTTTCGAGCCCCTTCCATCTACCTTTAAACTGGCACGGCTAGTCTCTCAGCTGACCAAAGAAACATTATTTGGCAGAGGTCATTGTGCCTCTATTAGGTTCAGATGCTCACAGGCAAACGTGTTTGATCTTTGAGTCATGATTTCCTTCTGTCTGCTGGGCACATGGCTTGAGTCATGTCATGCCACTTGATCATGGGCCGTGGAAAAGTTGAAAAAGTCAAATTTTAGTTTTATAACAGGTGCTTTGGCTCAGTGCTTTGATCCTATTCCATTTAAAAAATAACCATTTTAGTTCATCAATAACTTGAAGTTGGTCTTAAAGGAATAGTTCATCTAAAAATGTATGTAATCTTTCACCTTCATGTTGTTCCAAACATTTATTTGTTTTATGGTGTTCTTTTTGAAGTTTGAAAGCTCCAGTGCCCATTCATTGTAACTGCATAGAAACAAACCACCTGTATGTTTTTTTTTCATGCACTTAACTGACTCTGTCTCTGTTTCTCTCAGTGTCTCACTCTAGCTTTTTTAAATTGTAATTTTTTATAGTTTTATAGCACTGTGACCTCGGCAAAGCATTGATAACATGATTTTAACCTCGCCACGGTTTTACACAGTGCTGGTAGGATTTACACTGAAAATGTATATATACTCTATACATTTATATACTCTATATTATTTAAGTGCTTGAATATTTTTTTATTTGATTTGATTACACATGTGTGTGTATATTCCAAATATATATAAAATGTATAAATTAGATTTATAAATGAAGAATAACATAAAATATCAAAGCTTTCTGACACAATTTAAGTGATTCACCTAAAAACTGAGCAAAAAAACTTCCATCACAAAAGCTGATTAACGTTAAAGACATAATTAGTTTATACGTCATGATCCCACAACGTTCATTCCAGTTGAATATAATTGGAGGATATAATGAGTTTGTGTAATATTTTTAATGACTCATGTCCAGAAGAGCTAATTTTGCTGCCTGGTAATTAAATCTACCTGTTTTCTCATCCACTCATTTACCACTACAAATGCACTGAACAGTGGAACTTTGTGAATTATGTTATTATCTTGACCTAACAAAAGCAATTTCATAATTAATTATAATTTAAAAATGCCATTATTAAATAAATGACACATTGGCTAATGTCTTCAGTGATTTGGGGAAATTTAATTTTAGGAATTACTTACAATACACTTAATACAAAAGGATTTCTAAAATGTAATAAATCAATGTGGATAAGATCATATTTAACTCCTATTTCATCTTTTTTCCTCTAGTTGTGAATGTAAGCAGTCACATGTTTTCACAGTCCAATAAACTCAATGTCTTTAGGTTCGATGAGGTCAAGGAGTCTGGTAAGTCTTGATAATTTGTAAAACAACACAGAGGTGGTAGGATTTGCATTGAAAATGTATATATACTCTATATTATTTAAGTGGTTGAATCTTTTTATTTTAAATATTTTATTTCATTTCATTTCATTTAAGGAGCCATTTGATGCCAGGGTTTCTTTATCTGAGAAATAAAATTTGATATAAAAAAGTGGAGGATGTATTTGGTTACTTTTTCTTATCAAACACCTCTAGCCACGCCTGCTTTAATCCTTTGTTATATATGTTTATTGTATTGTTATGTGATGCAGTTAATTCATTACATAAGTCATTCAGTTAAATGTTTAAACCCAGTTAAACATTGATAATAGTGTGAAAACAAGGATTTTTATTTGCCAAACTGCCCAAATTTGGAAGGAGAAAGATATAAAACACATTTATAATGACATATATAATGTACTTTGTGTGATGCATAATGGAAAATCAGGGTGCTTATAGTCATACAGAATATGGCAAGAATTTACACCTCATAAGCATTAATGAAAAGCTGACCTACAGTTGCCCCCCAAAAAAGCATTAAAAAAAATTATGAATGTCATTGCATTAAATAACAAAATATCTAAACAAGTGACAGACAAGCACACTTTTTCTGGGGAAAAAAAGAAAAAAATCAAGTTTGTTAGGTTTGATTTACAAATACTTTACAAAACTGAGACAAAGAAGAAATTGGACAATTTGTAGAACATATAGTTAATTTGATGCAATATGTGATTACTCTGCTAAGGACAAATATGTCATATCTAAAAATCACAGGAACACCTGCTGGTTCAAAATAATTGCAAAAATGACAGGAAAAGTGAAGATAGTTCTAAGAAAAGGTATAGCACATATTTGTTTGCAGATGCAGTTTGGTTTGTTGTCAACTGATACAATTATTTTATTTCCATTTTAAGTGTATCTTGATTGTTCAGAAACATTTGGGGCTGATGTTTTTGAAATGCATTTTTACCAACTTTTTTGTGGAACTTACTTGTGGAGCTCTTATTACTGTGGGCATAGGCGGAGGGTGAATCAACTCCAGGGTAAGGCTAAAAGCAGCCAAATCTATTAACTACAAACATCATAAACCTGTCTTTTTAGGCAAGAACCAGACATGGGTGTCATGTAGGCTAATAAAGTATGTTTAATGGAACTGAATTTGCATTTAATGTGATTACAATTTAATTAAAACATTAGAAATTGATCAGTATAAAAACGTTTCCTTCCCACGGTTATTTAAACGGCGAATAAATTATGTACAGAAATGACATTATCACTAACTTTGATCTATCGCACTCTCAAAAAAACAAAAGTATCGTTATAATCACTGAAACTGCCTACACTGCGAAATGAATCCTTACTTAGTTTCAGCGATGACTCATCTGAACGTCTCTGATTGGCCGTTGCATTCCTAAACTCAACAGAATCGTGTGTGATTGGTTATAATGCGCAACACTGTAAAAACGCCTAAAATGAAATACGGTGCAACATGAGCAAATCTTAATTTAATGCTGCAGTCGACACTTTCTATTCATTTACACTTTGTTAGCAACAGACGTAATAGATTTAATTTGTTTGTGCAGGGGCATTTTTGTCCAATTTAGTGACATTTTTGCCCAGAAGGCCCTGTGGCCATCCTTACACATGCTCCGCCTATGACTGTGGGAAATTTTTAGAAAGTCCAGTTGTCATGGTGAAACATTGTGAAACCTTACTGAAATACATTCCCCCCCTCGAGTGCACATGAATTATTGTCATATTTAAGACTTATTTGTACTGTACACCACCTCTAACCTCATTTGATTTAATTGCTTTCTTTATGGCATAATGGTATGCACTAACCTCAGTCTGGACTTAAATGCCATTGAAATCTTAGGCCGTTGCTGACAGAAACGAAACGTGTAAAATGTAGAATGTTGTGATGACAGTGAGTTCTCAAGCATAACGTCTAAAATGGGTTTTGGACAAAGTTTGTATATGATTTATTCAGTAATTCATGTGATTTGTCAAGTTATTTATACTCAAAAAGGCCAGTTTGACTTCTCTTGTGCTTTTTCACTTTTAGACATTCTATTTTAAGTAAGTCTTTTCCCTCTCAGCACCCATTTGTCTGGTTTTACCTTGTTTATTTTCTTGAATGTTTTATCCTTAAATACTTTAAACACTTCTCTCCTTATAGAAATTAGGCAGCAGACATTGGTGTTGCCTTTAGCTGTCTTTTCTATAGTCACATGAATCCTGGAGCAACAGGGATCCGGAAACTGTTAATGAAAATGCCTGGAAATATTACTCTATAATGGCTTTAAATTTGGTAGCAGTGCTTGTGTGCTTAATTTGCCCTCTTCTATATTAAGTATAAGTTGGTATAATCAGAACAGTGTAGATCCTTGGTGCAAAAATTAGAAACTAGGCAATTAAAAATATTTTAGTCATCATTACTTTTATAGTTTGGCCCAGATCAGAAGATTTATAGCAAACACCCTTTGATACTAAATGTTTTATTGGTCATGATACCATTCCACGTCCTGATGCTGTGTTTTTCCATGGCTACTAGGAACACTGCAATGTCGCTAAATAGAGGAAATTCCACAGTATCCTAGTAATCATTCATTTTATTACTATTTCAATAAGACGCACTATGCAGCAAACAAAGTACTCAAGAGCATGATGTGTAGCCTTTATCTCAACAGGTTTTACAGTGTTTGATCAAGAGCAGAACCTGTACAGTCATGTGTTTGGATAGCAAGTACAAGCAGTTTAGAGTCATACAGGATGATCATAAATAACTGCCAGCTGTATATTCATTTAAACAGGTAGTCTGTATTCTATCTATCTATCTATCTATCTATCATCTTGAAGTCACATGAGTCACTAAATTATAAATGATGCAATATTAACAATAAATATCAGGGGAACACTGCATGATTCAGACTTTGTCACAGTGAAATTATATGCTTTTGTGTGTATATTCTTTTTACACTTTTTGTCTCAAAACCGCAGAGAAAAGCTGGAATGTACCAAACACTTCAGTTGCACGGCAATGCAAATTCTCTCTTTAATGTCCCGCTTATAATATTTTGATCATTTTGAGCACAAATTTGACTTTGAAATCACAGACTTTGATTTCTGCGCAGTTACTTCACAAATTTGAAACAAGGTGAGGGATTATAATTGTTAAAAATTAAATAAAAAATAAGAATAAATAAAAATGTATTTTATAGTGGTTAAAATTTGAGTAAATAATATATAAAAATTTTTAATAAATAATAAATTTAAATGTAATAAAAATGTGAATAATACATTAAATTATATAAATTAAATAAATTAAACAAATATATGAATACACATACATACATACATATATAATTTAAAATTAAATTATTATTATTTTTTTTTATGACCAATTCATACATTTTTACTTATTATTTGAGGCTTTTAATCTTTCAAATTTAGTCTTTCAATCTTTAATCCAAGATTATTCATTCATGTATTATGGAAACTACAGCAGAATCACAGCAGCAGCAGCAGCGCTGACCGAACGCTGAGTACCGGTGTAGTGCTGAAATTTGCCCCCTGCCAGATTATGCACCCCCTAGTATTGGTAGGTTTAGGAGTAGGTGTGGGGGAGGGGTTAGGATTAGGCAACCAGGTAGCGAATTCAACGAGGGGTGTGGGGGAGTGGTTAGGATTAGGCAACCAGGTAGCGAATTCAACGAGGGGGTGCAAAATCTGGCAGGGGTGCAGAATTCGGCACAACACCGGGTGGATGAGATTAAATTGAGCGCAGAGTGGGAGGAGTTGACATGGGAGGAGCTGAGCAGTCAAAGCCACGCCCACCGACAGACAGACCGGTTGGACAGGAGATGCCCATCGCCCGAAGGCATTTGACTTATCTGAGAGTTGTAGGAACGCACATCTGCTCAAGACACCAACTAAACTTTGCGAGTGATCGGTTACATAAGCAAGAAAAGCAGAAATCAGCCAGTTCAATGTAGCAAGCCTGCCAGCACGATCACTAAAGAGAGATTGTAGGAGCTCATGATCGCCCTATGAACAGCAGGTAAGCGCAGAACTGCTACTATTCTGCTCTGAGATATCGAAAACATTGAATGCTCTTGACTGAGTCTGAATAAGAAAAAAAAGATAGCATTCCTACATAAGTAGCTACTTAACAGGGTTTATTACAGGACAGTACATTTATATGATCAAAATGTTCTGTTGAATGATTTGACTGAACTACATATTCTGCGTGTAATTAATTAAATTTCACATTTAAATCTGCTTAATTTAAATATTTCATATTTAAGCCACTTTACTATGGTTGTTATAGTTATAGTTATTAGTTACCAGTAAGAACATGCAGAGTGCTTCATATGGTAACACCTAACTTAACTGCATTTATTCAAGTAAATAGATAGGTATATAGATAGATAGATAGATAGATAAGGGTAGAAATATCTCCTGAAGAAAACTTCACTTTTTGTATAGTTTTATAAGTAGATAAGAAAATCTATATTTATAAAATATTTAAATAAAAATATATATTTTATGTTATGTTTTATTTATAAGTTTGACAAGGGTGTTTCTGAAGTGGCGCAAAATAATGTTTTTTTGTCCAAAAAAAAAACTGTTCAACTGTTAAATCAGTGTGTAAAATGTTTGCCACCCTTTATTACAGTGTATTATTTGTTATATTAAAAAATATGGAAAGAATCACTAATCTATGAATCAATATGAGTGAATATGAATGAACTGCAGCTGTAAACAATTACATATTAAGTAGCCTGTATGTTACCACTGTGCACTGCTATTATAATTAATTATTATACACTTAACAGGCACTGTGATGTAAAGTGTGATTTTAACCTTTTTGATTTTGACTTGACCATCAAGTAGCCTCACACTGGCCCAGAATCAGAGCAGCGCTTTACAGTCTAATTATATTAGCGGGTGGAAAGTGCTGATATAGGCGTTCATTATGTAATGAGCTTTGCATTGGTCTAATCCAGGGAATAAGAGGACAGAATGGCTGTGAAGGCTTCAGTGTTTCAGTTTGTCAGTGCTCATTGACAGTTTAATAATGGGTGACTTGTTGTGTTTCAAAGTGTTGGTTTGTGGTGTCATATTTGATTCTTTTGTCAGCTGACATTGTAATGCAATTCAAACAGAGGCAGAGATCTCATTTGAATATTGATTAGAATATTGATAGTCTGGAATATTGACAGTTTTCCTAAAGCTGATTAATTGAATCAAATGAATTAAATATTTTTTTGTTGTATTGTTTGCCTTTAGTTTAGACTGAGTTTGTACAAATAGACTTCTTGTGATACTTTTGCTCTATACTGTAATGCTGAATTGAAACTGAACAAATTCTGGTTTCACTTATGGTGATACGATCTTAATTGTTCATACTGATATGAACAATAAACTGAGGTCAAACAAAGTGTACAGTACGAACAGGAATCAAATTATATTTGTCTTATGTATTTAATATTAATTTGATATTCAGATGCATAAAACCAATCAAACCCAGTGCATGGCGTTGGGTACTGAACACACCGGAAGAGCTGACAATAGCTTCTTAATCTGTTAAAAGTGAGACCTGCCACTTCCTAAGCGGTCATTCAACTTACTGTATCAATGAGAGTCTTTAACACACTTGCATTTAGCTCTGGTTGTTTATTGAGCTGTGTAATAAAACTCCTGCTATCATGATATTCTGTCTTTTGTTGGTTAGTGCCATCTTGAGGGCCTAAACGTGTGGATTGTATAGATAAGTGGCCAACAGATATGGGGTGCTGTGTGTACATTAATGAGGAAAAAAAATTAACTTAAATGATTTTAGCAAATGGCTGCAATATAACAAAGAGTGAAAAATTTAAGGGGGTCTGAATACGTTCCGTACCCACTGTATATATATATATATAAACAGTTTTGTAACTTTTCATATATATTGCTCTTAAAGTTTTAAAGAGAGGTTTTTGAGTATGTCGGAATATAAAAGTTAGCTTCTATTTAGCGCGGACCTATTTCCTGTTCACTTGATGAACTCATTCACTTCTGCATAATTTGATGCTTTTATTGATCGGTATCATCAAGCCTATGTGAGGCACAGATCCTATGTCAGAGTGATGATGTTGATGAGTCTTTGCAGACTGTTGAACATTAAAGCATGTCAACATATTCTGTTACACCAAATACACAAAATAATGATCTTTAAAAAAGCATCATATGACCCCTTTAATTTTAGAGATCAGCGCTTCGGTGGTTAGGAAGATTTTCATTGAATAATTCAATTTCATTTTGTTCCTCCTAAAAATCCATTATATAGCCTATCAGTAGACTTGATATACAGTGCATTTGGACTACTTTTATTTATGGACTGTTATAGAATTGTTGTCCTTTTTAGAGCTTGACAGATGAGATTAATGAAATATACAGTTATAAGTTGTAAAATATATAGACATTCGGAAACATTGTTACGGTAGTTTTTTACTTTGAGTTTCTGGCAACAACAGCTCCAAAGTTATTACTATGAAGTTTTTTTTTTACCATGACAAATTCAGACAGGTGTTCATTTTTCCTCAATTACTGTAGTTTGTGCTATTAAATGTAGGAATGTTCTTTGCTATGAAATAATGACTGAACATGACAACAGTGCTTTTGAATTAGAGTTTACATGATTGATTAATGGACATACTGGAACATCAGCCTGGCATTCAGGTAATTCACTGCAATTTGTTGAGCTGATGTCAATTCGGCGCTCACTTTGTGACAAGCTGTCAAAGCCACCCTGAAATTAAATATACCATTTAACATGAGCAGATTAATGCAAACTGCATCATATGGCCCCTTTAAATGTACTGTAGATATGTAGGTGAAGCAACCAGGGATGAATACGTTTTGGTCTTGCAGAAACGTGAATTCACAAACACAAGTGCTGATATATTTTTAGATTACAGGGGAAGATGTCAGAGAGCTTGTCCAACTGGTTTTACCGTTAACTTAAAGCGTTCTGTTATTCCAACAACAATGTCCATTTTTATCTATAAACAATGAAGAGTATTTTGGGGTCTGCTCAGTACACGTGCTGCTGCTTCTCTTTGCTTTTTATATTTCTTAGGCAGCTTGTAAATATAAAGCATGATTTTACATCAAATTCAGATGCATTCCTAACAGACTGATTCATAATGCCACCCACATACATTAAAATATCTTTGGGCCAAAAGCCTCTTCAGTACTTTGTCACAAATCAAATATTGAGCTACATTAACAATTTGGAAACATTGATAGTTCACCCAAGCAGGGATAGCAGGTACAGTTCACCCAAAAATCACAATTCTGTCATCATTTACAGTACATACCCTCAAGCAGTTCCAAATCGGTACGACTTTTTTTCTTTTTGAAACACAAAAAGATATTTTCAGAAATGTCATGCTGTTTTGTATTTGTTGGTATTTTGGACACCATGAACAGTTCTTCAAAATGTCATATTTTGTGATCTGCAGAAGAAAGAAAGTTTTGGAATGGCATGAGGGTTAGTAAATGATGACTGACTGACTGAATGTATTTATTTATTTATTCATTCACTCATTCATTCATTCATTCATTCATATTTTTGGGTGAACTATCTATGGAAGCCCAAACTCAGAATTGAGTAAATGATGACTGACTGACTGAATGTATTTATTTATTTATTCATTCACTCATTCATTCATTCATTCATTCATTCATATTTTTGGGTGAACTATCTATGGAAGCCCATTTCCACTTTTTTTTTTCCAAACTCAGAATTGTGAAGGAAAAAAGTCAGAATTGTGAGATAAAAACTCAGTTACACGATATAAACTCTCAGTTGCGAGACAAAAAGTCAGAATTATGAGATCGGAATTATGAAATTATGAATTATTCTGTGGCAGAAAAAAAACAAATTGCGAGATGTAAAACAAAAAAAAAAACAAATTGAGAGATGTAAAACAAAAAAGTCAGAATTGTGAGAAAAGTCAGAATTCTGAGTTTATATTCTGAGGAAAAAGTGAGATAGAAACTCAGAACTGTGAAAAAAGTTAATTGTGAGATAAAAAGTCACAATTATCCTTTTAATTTTTTAGGCCATGTTGGAAACAAGCTTCCATAGCTATCCCTTTAAGAACAAGGAAGTTCAATAAAGACAAGCCTGTTATTTTATTGCTACAGTTTTGTAAACCAAGTAGTAAATCAAGTGTGTCATTAGTAATTCATCATGAGTTTACACCTTAAATGGGATCTGATTATACCTGAATGACGACAGACTACTTTAGATATTTGTGTTAATTAGTCTTACGCAGTTATCGCTGCCCACCTGAATGACTAGATATGCCCCCAGAGACACAGGTCCACCTGTCAACAATGTAATGATCCTAATCCCTAACGTTAGTCTGGATTTACCTCATGGCCGATCACTTTTCAGGTCTATGTCACCCACACTAGTGCAACACTGCACCTCTGAGGAGGAGGTGGTTTGGATCTGGCTTGCTCTGGATGGTTGTGCATTGTGCAACTGGCACAGAGTTTTGCTGCGGGGGCTGGAAAACAGTATTTGAAAGAACAACACACTGTAGACTCACAAATGCCTGACAATGGCAAACTGTCAGGAAAAAAAAAAAAGTGTTAATCGACCGTGAAAGTTTCGATTTGAGAGCATCTTTGAAAGTTGCTTCCTGCTGTGGTTTTCCACTGAATTCTGGATAATATCTAAACAGATGGCCCCTTTTCTAGGAAATCTTTAATTACGTTTCTTGGACAGATGTTTGGCATGTGACAACATGCCCTATGTACACTGAAAAAAATTGGTGTGGAAACAGTTTTCACTGAGAAATTGCTAGTAAATTTCACAAATAATTACAAGAACCAAACCTGTGGGGGGAAAAAAGGTAATTGCGACTTATCTTACAATTCAGGAAAAAAAAAAAGAGTCAGATTTGTGAGATATTATGGAGCCCCACACATGGCACGCAGGAAAAAAATAGGCTAAATCGTGTGCACGATTTACTATTTCGTTCCCTCGATTTATAAATTGTG